TAGTGAATATCAAAACCTCTCATATTCAAAATCCTTTTGTGTACTTGAAGTTTTGGTAGAAAACGCTAAGTGCTTAAGTGTTTCTCTATTACAAGGCTTGATTAATCTTTCAAACAATTTATCAAGAGTCTCTTTAAGCATCTGATTCGATCCTAGAGGGGGTAAATATCGTTTGAGGACAACGATTTTCATATTTTAGCCTTCATTGTGATTCCTGTGATTTCTTTATCATTTCTTCATTCTTGGTTCTTTGTTTCTTCTCTTCCCATTGTGAAAATATTCCCAACAAACTCAAACGATATTCTACAATGTAGAATGAAACAACTATGATGATGACCAAATTTATGAACCAAGATCTTGTTCGTTTGGACCGTTTTGGTGGGATGAATTTCACGATAAGGCAAGACAAGTTGAAGTTTCTTTTTACTGCATTGAAGATCTTCTACATTTTTTATTTGGATTTGGCACCACTTGCAAATCCAACAGATAAAGATACCTAAGCCATGAAAGCGAAAAGATTAAAGGTTTAAGAGGATAAACTCATTTGTTGACTCTCTATCCAATCGGCTGTATGATCTCTACACAAATACATCATCGGCAAGAGACATATGGAATGCTTTGGAGAACGCGTACAAAGCCAAAGAAGAAGGTACCAAGAAACTCCTCATATCAATGTATTTTGATTTTAAATTTCTTGATAATACGTATCTTTTTCCCCAAGTGCATAAATTGCAGGTTCTTATCAACAAGTTGAAAGCGTTCAAAACTAAAATCCCGGAATCCTTTCGAGTATGAGCAATTATTGTAAACTCTAGAGAACTTGGAAAGGATATCAGAAGAAAATCATGCATAGTTCCAAAGATTATTCTGTAGAAAAATTGCAGAAACATCTTTGAATTGAGGAAGAGTTAAGGGTAAAAGATAAGAATAATAATTCTTATAAAGGTACTTCAAAGGCTAATACTTTGGAAAAGACCAAACCTTCACACAAATCCAATTAAAGAGAGCCTTCTAAAAACTTTAACAATGTTAGAAGAGGTCCAAGGGAGGTTGTTTTTCTATGTGGGAAACCCGGACATTATGCAAAAGAATGTCGACATCGAAAACAAACTACTCAAAAGGAAAAGTGAATTCCATCAAAGAAGATAACATTGTAGCCACCATAAGTGAGATCAATGCTATCAAGGAACAGATTCCCGATTGGTGGTATGATACATATGCAACTATACATGTGTCATATGATAAGTCTTTATTCAAGACATATAATGAAGTGGATGGAGACCAAGAGATTCAAATGGAAAACGAAGGCCGCTCCAAGGTGTTTGGAAAAGGAAATATAGAGATTATCTTCACTTCTGGCGAAAATGTTACTCTAACACGTGTATTACATGTTCCTGATATGAATATGAATTTAGTATGTGGAAATCTCTTAGGAAAATCAGGCATAAAAAGTGTTTGAGTCCGGTAAACTTGTATTAACCCTAAATGGGAAATTTGTTGGAAAATGCTATTTAGTGAAGGAATGGTCAAACTTTTGTACAGTTGACAAGTTAATTAATAATAAAGTGGATTCTATTGATATTGTTGATTCTTTAAATTTATGGCATGCTAGAATAGACCACAAAGGTAAGAGTACTATGAAAAGAATGATGAAATGTGGCTTAATATCATATAATGAATATGATATATTTAAATGTAAACCTTGTATATAATCTAAAATGAATAAGAAACATTTTCAAAGTATAAATAGGACTTCAAGTATTTTGGAATTAATTTACAGTGATATATGTGAATTAAATGACACGTTAACTGGAGATGAAAATATTTATTTTATTACCTTTATAGATGATCACTCTAGATACACTTATGTTTATTTAATGAAACATAATCATGAAGCTTTGATATGTTTAAGGTATATAAAAATAAAGTTGAAATCACTTAAATAAGAAAATAAAATCTCTAAGAAGTGATAGATGAGGTGAATATTTTTCTAGTGATTTTAATTTATTTTGTGAACAACAAGGTATAGTACATCAATGTTCTACACCTAGGACACTCGAACAAAATGATTTGACTGGAAAAAAATAGAAATCTTTTTAAAATGATTAATGCTATATTAACTTATGCTAAGTTGTATTTAATTTATGGGGTGAAACATTAGTGAGTGCATGTAGAATATTAAATAAAATTCCTTCCAAATTAACAAATGTTTCTCCTTATAAATTGTGAAGAAGAAGAAAACCTAACATTGGATATTTCAAAGTGTGGGAGCATTTTGCATATTGTGAGAACAAGACCAAGTTAGGTCCAAGAGGCATCAAATGCGCCTTTGGTGATTATGCTAATAATAGAAAATCATATATATTATTAAATTTGGAGATCAATGTGATAATTGAATCAAGTAATGTTGAGTTCTACGAGAATTCTCTATCTTTGGATAATGAATTAAGGGAAAGTCGTAAAAAAAAAATATGAATCTCTAATGGAAAACAAGATGAAACATCATGGAGGCAGAATATGTAGCGGCTTGCGAAGCTGCTAAAGAAGCTGTAAGGTTCAAGAAGTTTTTTTAGACCTTGACGTGGTACCTTTGGCAATGGGACTCCTAAAGCTTTATTGCGATAATAGTGAAGTGGTTGCCAATGCTAAAGAACCAATGAGTTATTAGCGTGGCAAGCACATCGAGAGGAAATATCACCATGTTAGAGAAATTGTTCATCAAGGAGACATGACGGTTCGCAAGATTGTATCAACAAATAATCTTGTGGATCCATTCACCAAGACCTTGTCAGCTAAGGCTTTTGATGGGCATCTTGAGGGGATTTATTATTCTTATTAAGAGTTGTCTAGATTTGGGAATAAGAACAGTAATGTACTTTTGATGCACATCGAACGAGACCGTATAGATTTCTCATTTGTGTTCGCTCAAAATGAGACTTTACTCGATTATCAAACAAGTTACCTAAATCCTGAGTGAGTAATGTTCCTTTCATTGCTAGTTCAAGTTCTTTGAGATACAAATGAGTGAAGTCTTAATTAGAAGATTGATCTCGGTGCTTTGGAAATTAGTCCGAAACAATTAGAGATCATATACTTGCAATAGTGAAATCCATTAATCATTGAGATAAGACGATCGTCACTCCAAGGTACTTTCCATAAGCAAATTGAACCTGAGCTCAGTAGTCTAATGATAAGATCGTTGGACTTTATATTGTGATTTGATCACGACGAATTTGCCATATGAAAATGGAACTTAGAGAAAAATACATGTTGAAGGGCAAAACGGTCATTTTGCCAAATTCGACATATTGATGGTCAAATCGGGGTTGACTTGTGATGATACTATTATTGGATCATAATTTTCTTTTATAACTATCACTCGATTCGAGAGTGCAATCTCGCTTTTTTGGTAGAATGAGCAGGATTAATAGATGTTCTTAATTGGTCAAAAGTTGATCCAATTAGAAACATTTATTAGAGCTTGAGTCATGTGCCTCCGGTTAGGTTCCTCTCTTGGCTCCAATAAAGATGTGTGTGACTTGATTGGTCGACTGCAATAAATTTCAAGGAAATTTGTGCAATTTTCGAACTCTAATTGAGTATTATAAATATGTCCTTTTTGAGCACATTTTCATATACTTTAGGGTTAGCTACATTTCATTTTTCCCATAAGAGGGAGGCATCCAAAGGAGAACAAGAGAGAAGATCTAAGGGGAAGAGGCATTTAGCTAGACCATTAAAAGCTCCTTCAAGATTATCATCTTCCCTTTTATGTTGAGAATTTAAAACATCAAATGATTTCAAGGTGATCTGACATCCTTATTCATATGGGTTTAATCTTCAAAGGAACATTAATTTCCTATTGTGATGATTAAATCCAATAACCATCAAATTCAAGATTTCAACTCTTCATTTCTTTAAGAATACATTCAAGATGCGGGTTTCTTCTATTATATTGCATCTTTTCATTATATCCCTCATTTTGTAATGAATTTCATCTCTATCTCCTTGTTCTATTTCAATTTTGTAATGGGCTAAATGTTTAATATTGGAATTTATGATTTAACATATGTTTCATTAATATCAGTATGTTTAAAATTTAATGTCAAAATTGCCATTGTTATTGCACATTTTTTGTTATTGTGTTTACATTTCCATCATTTGGCGAATGGATGATTGGGTTAGGTGGTATGGGCAATTATTGAGATTGTTATGCTTTTTAGACCAAAATAATTAATGCCCTAGGTTGTTTTAGGAGATAGAGATATATATCTAGCCTAAATGACCTATTAAGTTATTTTCACTGGATTTAATGCAGTTGGTTGTGTTTTTATCAACATAAAAATATAGTGGATAAAACTAATCAACTAGAGTTATTTTCACTTGAGAGAGGTAATTAACTAAAATTGGAAAATCAGATTTAATATTGTAACTAGGAGATTTAAATTTTCAGTTTATTGAGATATTAATGAAACGACAGTTAAGCGATATCGTAAATCCTAACTCATTTAAAATCTAAAATCTTATCAATTTCACAGTTGTTAGTTTTAATTAAAGTTTAAAATTGTTTTATTTTCATTGCTAACTTCAAAAATTTTAATTGTGTGCATTTTTATCGTTAATTTGAATCACATATCATATAATGAGAATAAACACTCTTCGAGGGATCGACTCGGACTCACATCCACTTTATTACCTGAACACACTCTTGCACTTGCAGCATATAATTTTAGTGAACAAGTTTTTCAACAGAGAGAGAGAGAGAGAGAGAGAGAGAGAGAGAATGAACAATGTGATTTAACTTTTCCCTAACATGCATCCACTTAAGTAGATACGTTTATAAAATCTTAAAAAAAGCGCTCTGATACAAAGGATCCCAACAAGAATATATTCTTAAATAGATAAACAGATTTTTAATGAAGAAAAAGTGAATAAGGAGCATTATCAACCTGTATAAAACGCCTCCCGGCCAGTCATTTGTATAGTATAAAGAAGTTTTCCAACTCTAAATCGCTTCGGGTTAGCGTGACTTTCAGGCATCAGAAATACATCGGCTTTGTAAAGAAAGATGGGAGCTAATATTTCGACTGAGTATGAAGCCAATGGATCAACAATGAACAAGGACCTTGTTGTTACATGCAATGGATCATCAGCAAAAAATGGTCGGAATATTGTATCAAATGGATCATCATCAGCAAGCAAGGGTCGGGTTCTTGCATTCCATTCCTCCTCGAAATGGAAGATCCATTTTGAAGCCTCAAAATTGACTTCAAATCTGGTAATATTACGACTAACCTTTTAGATGAAGTAGTCTAATATGGTATCAGAGAGTAAGCACATATCTCCCATTTATGAAAATTGTTCGTGTTAACTAAATAAGTTTGTCACTGTCTAACCTAGATAACGACTTAAGCTTTTAGATGAACTGGTCTAATATGGTATCAAAGTAAGCAAAAATCTCCCATTATTGAAAATTGTTTCGTGTTAACTAAATAAATGTGTCCACTCTCTAAACTATATAATAGCTTAAGCTTTTAGACGAATCTGCATGCAGGAAATACTTCTCGACTTGATTATGACTAGCTGATAATATTAAATAATGGTTTTTACTTTCTTATTTCAGATGGTCGTTGACTTCAAAGCTTCTTGGTGTGGACCTTCCCGATCCATGGAACCTGCCATGAATGAATTTTCTGCTAAATATACAGATGTTCATTTCATTAAAATTGATGTTGATGAGTTGGAAGTATGATCATTTTCATTTTCACTTTGAACTTTAAAATTTTTCCCATTGGATTTCAGTTAACGTTTGTTTTTTAACTGTATAAAAATTGGAAACAGGATGTGGCTAAGGACTTTGGAATTCAGATTATGCCCACTTTCATACTGATAAAGAAAGGAGAAGAAGTTGATAAGCTTGTTGGAGCCAACAAAGAAGAACTTAGGAAGAAGATTGAGAAATACAGGGCTCAATAGAACCCCCATCCTACCCTACCCCAAAGTCTTGTCAAGTGGTTTTCCTACAATTCCCTTTGGTTTTAGTTTCATATATTAGCCGGGTGTGTTATCCGAAAATAAAGATGCATGAATAATGTTAATTTTTATGTAACACAATGTAATGATTTATAAATAATATTAGCACTTTTTTATTATAAAAGTGCAGTTTAAGAGCAGAATTCATTTCCTGATGGGCATCGTTGTGGAAGGACATCTTGGAAGGGTTATTTCCAAGTAGAAAAATAGTTCTATGGAATCATTAAACTATGGCGGTTGAAGGCATGTGTTATGGACTGATCTAAATTATTGAAAGTAAATTTGTAACTTAGAATTCGACAACTTATTAATCTTGCTTGTTACAAAATTTATGAATCTAAGCATCACTGAGAAAAAATCTACAGTTATGAGAAATGAGATATATCGACAAAACATGACAAAAATGAATTACGTCATTTAAAAACTTTTAAATTTAAAGTAGTTGCTTTTATTTGTCTGGAAAAGTAACCTCTTTCACTATTTCTCAAAGCGCTTTGAAGGATTCCTAGGTTAATCTTCAGTATTTCTCTGACAAGGCAACTATGCTTTGAACATGAACAAAATTTGAGTAATAAAATTGACACGTGCGCCAATTTCATATTAAATTTTATGAATGTACTTTCGGTCAAAAGAGGCAAACATTTGATGGAATAATGTCAAGGAAAAAAAGTAAATATGCTTCTAGTAGAATCTTAATATCTATTGAAAATTTGGAGATGAACAAACAATGAGAATAATTTCAAGAGAACATTCAAACTTTCGGTTATTTTACTTCACTTGACTTATTGAAAATGAGTAATATCACAAGCCTTTTATAGTAATGAATAATACCAAAGGATTTCACTAATTCGGCGTATGAACAACAACCATGCTACTTGTACAAGCTTAGTCATTGTACCTTTTTTAAGACAACACATGGTAACATCTAATCGGAAGTTGCCAAAAAAAAAAAAAAAAAGACACCCATGCAGGTACTGCTAGTGCAACACCACTAACAGATTTGTAAACAAATCCCCTCTATGGATAATACCTAAGGACATAGAATTAACTTATCTAAATAAAATTTATATTTCAAACAAAGCGAATGGTAAAGATTCGGAAACCGAAAATCTGAGATTTACTTGGAGAATCATAATTTTTGGCACAATAGGAATCAATATCACTCTTAATATTATCATCAGCAACATTTGTATCATTTGAGGCCTTTTGAAACTCTTGACTCCTATTTGCTTTGAGATACTTTGCCAATTTCTTCTAATGTTTCTATTCTTTTGTTGTAGTGTCACCACGCCTCTCCTAACAATGTGGTTGAAACATTATTCACTTTCGAAGTAAATTTTTTGACTAATAGCATAGTCACCAAGTCTTATATGACTTAGGCAAGGAAAACAACAAAATAATCACCTTATCTTCATCCTCAATCTTAATATCAATGTAAAACTACTCCATCACACTTATAAAATCTATTCAAAACCATGATTTATCCCCCCGTTTGAAATACTACATATTTGTTAGAGATTTAAACATATACAAATATTTTAATATTTTCCTTAACATAGAAGAACATTTCTCATCCAAAATACCATAAATTAAATCCAAAGAACAAGCTAATCTGATGGTACAATTTTTCAGTTTTTCCACTAAACTTAACTTTTTTCTTTTTCAAAAGTTTGTTTCTGAAACCAAACCAAATCGATACCACATGGTTTCGGTTTCGATTTCCAATACTACAAATGAAACCAAATGGTTCCATTATCAAATAACTATCGATTTTCGGTTTGGTTTCAGTTTTTGTTGAATCGGGCCTGAACCAAAACCATACCCAAGCCTAGTTACATCTCTTCCCCCCCCCCCCCCAACTGGATTAGTGTACTCATAATTACATCATTGATCCCTTAATTTAATCTATGTTGTAATGTGATCCAAATTCTAATATGCATTGGAGTCTTAGTTGAAATGGTCTTGAAAAGATCAAATTTATGGATCGGGAGAAAAGTGGTCGTATTTTCGCTAGCCTGCATTAGCTGGCCGCTAGAGCGGCACCAACATATTTTGAATAGAGACTCTTCGCCTGCCTGTTACCATTGTCGTTCAAGCAGCAGTGTTATTCAGCCCAGCCCATTTTTCACGTTTTAACGCGTTTTAGACTTTTATCTATCTTCAACTTGGTTTCTAAGGTTATATATATATAAGCCTTGATTTATATTGTTCCTATAATATTCATACAACATTATGAGAGTTTTAGATCTTAGTTGAGAGCATTGAAATCTTATTATAAACACAATTACTATTGATTATAGTGGATTTCTCCTCTCTTGCAGCCACAGATAAAGCATGGTCAGAAAGGTAAAATCTCAACTTAGTAAAGAGTTTGGGATGAAGAATTTGGATGCAATAAAGAAAATTGTTGGTATGAAAATATTAAGGGATAGTTAGGCTGGAAGATTATATTTAAGTCAGAAGTGATTCATTGAGAATGTGTTTCAAAGGTTCAATTTATTGAATGCTAAGGCTTTTAGTACTCCCTCAACTGCCTACTTCAAATTATAGTCTAGATGGTATCCTCAACCAGACATTGATTATATGTCTCGGGTACCTTATTCCAATGTAGTTGGTGTCAGAGAATGAAAGACTTAGTTGTTTTCATATATATGTTTACAGCCGGGTGTTATATATTTATATGTAGGAGAAGAGGTCATATTCTATTATATACAAATCTTATTCCTACAATCAAGTTACTGTGTAAAGAGAAAAAAAAACTTTCTATCCCATTTCCTATAATTCTTCAATCTTTCCTCAATTCACGCCGACACTCCCCCTCAAGTTGATGCATATGGATCCATTATGCGCAACTTGACCAGCGTGCTGTAGAAATCTTTGTTTGACACAACTTTGGTAAGTATATCTGCTAGTTGGTCCTCGGACTTGACAAATGGAAACCGAATTGTCTTAGTCTCTAAGTTATGTTTGATGAAATGCCGATCTACCTCTACATGCTTCATTCGATCATGCTAAATTGGGTTGTTCGAAATATCTATGGCGGCTTTATTGTCACAAAAGAAGTTCATTTCGATTTTGGGAGCAAAACCAATCTCAGCTAGCAATCTTTTCAACCAAAGAATCTCACACAAACCCTTGGCCATCCCACGAAATTCTGCTTCTACACTGGAGAGTGCCACTACTTTTTGTTTCTTAATTCTCCATGTAACAAGATTTCCACCAACAAATGTGAAATACCCTGAAGTCGACTTACGGTCCGTGATGTTCCCGGCCCAATCTGCATCTGTATAACCATCAACTCCCAGATGGCCATTCTTAGAAAACATGAGTCCTTTCCCTAGAGAGGACTTTAAGTACTTTAGTATTCGAGTTACAGCCTCCATGTGTTCTTCACTTGGACAATGCATAAATGGACTCACTACACTCACGGCATATGCAATATCTGGACGGGTATGAGAGAGATAAATTAATTTTCCAACTAATCGTTGGTATCTTCCCTTATCAGTTGGTTTCTGATCCAGATATATTTCGAGCTTGTGATTCTGTACAATTGGGGTCTCCACTGGTTTGCACTCCAATAGTCCAACCTCAGATAATAAATCTAGAATATATTTTCTTTGGCATAGAAAGATGCCTTGGTTTGATCTGGCAACCTCTATTCCCAGAAAATACTTGAGTCCACCTAGATTTTTCATTTCAGATTCACTATCCAACCGCCTTTGAAGTCTTGATATTTCTTCAATATCATCTCCTGTGATGATCATATCGTCAACATAGACAATTAGAGCTGTTATCTTGCCCTATCGATTTTTGAGAAATAGAGTATGATCTGTGTTGCTTTGTCGAAAACCATACTTCTTCATTGCCAAGCTAAATCTCCCAAATCATGCTCGCGACGATTGCTTTAATCCATATAAGGCTCGCTGTAATTTGCACACCTCATTAGTTCCGGTGATCAGTGAGTATCCTGGTGGGATGTCCATATAAACCTCTTCTTCGAGATTGTCGTGAAGAAAGGCATTTTCACATCAAGCTGGTGGAGTGGCCAATCTAGGTTTCCTGCAATTGATAACAATACTCTAATAGTATTTAGCTTAGCTATCGGTGAGAAAGTTTCTTGATAGTCTACACCATATGTTTGAGTATACCCTTTTGCCACAGGTCTTGCCTTATATCTTTCTATAGATCTGTCAGCTTTGTGTTTGATAGAAAACACCCATTTGCAACCAGCTGTTTTCTTTCCTTTTGGTAATGGCACTAGCTCCATGTCTTGTTTTTCATTAATGCTTCCATCTCATCTTTGATTGCTTGAGTCCACTTCGGATCTTCCAAGGCTTCCTCCACCCTTGTTGGAACATGACAAATAGAAATGTTATGTACAAAGTTCTTGAGGGGTTCAGTCAATCCCTTTGTGGAGACATAATTGGCAATGGGATATCTTGATCTTCTTTCCTCAATATCTGGTGAATAGCGGCTTGGAGGCTTGCCACGATTGTGCCTGTAAGGTAATATATAACCACTAGGAGATTCTGTAATATTTGTGTTGTAAGAGTTTACCTCAGGATCATTCTCAGGAGTTGGGTCTTCGGGTACCATAAAGGGGGAAAAGATTGCAGCTTCGTGATCAGCTTCATGGTGTTCAAGAGTCGAAGGAGTCTGATAAGCTTCACAGTGTTCAAGAGGAGGAGTAGCTGGAGGCACATCTTCTGATTGCATTGGTTCGACATGTTCTTCAGATAAGCCCAACCAATCCAATTTCATCCAATTCGGTTCTTCCTGTCTAGTCTCCCCCTGAAGATGAGAATTGGGTAAAAAAAAAAGGTTTCGCTTTCCATAAAAGTGACATCCATGGTAATATAGGTGCGATTAGAAGAGGGATCGTAGCATCTATAGCCTTTTTGATGAACTGCATACCCCAAAAATAAGCACTTGCGGGCACAAGGATCAAGCTGAGTCCGTTGATTCTTATGGAGATGGACATAAGCTACACACCCAAACACATGAGGTGGAAGCATCAATACTGTTGGTACAGTGGTATATATAGAGATGGCATGTAATGGTGTTTGGATACCCAACACCTTAGAGGGCATTCGATTTATAAGATATACTGCAGTGGTAACCGCATCCGCCCAGTA